CAGAGCTAAGGAGCCTGTCTCTGATGCCTGGTGGCACATTGTGGGTTTCAGAGGTGGCTGGGGTCGAACCTTGGGCATCCCCTTAGGAGCGTGGCCGGGCCTCACCTGGGGGCTGTTGGCCCCAGACGAGAACCCACCCTCCATGTGCTCGGATCTGGGCAGGGGGAAGGGGACACGGCATCTGGGAGGCCCAGAGGACAGCGTGTGGCCCAATGGCCCCTGCCCGCCTGTGTGTGTGTGTTGGGGGCAGGGGCCGGGCCTCTCCGTTCTCTGCCACTCACCTGGGAGCACTCGCATCCTGCCTGGCGAAGAGCACCTTTGCCCTCTGTGCACGTCCTGTCCCCTGTGTGGCCCCGGAAAGCGAGGGGGCAGGTGGGCAGGAGCGGGCAGAGACTGGCCTGACCCGCAGGGATGCCGTCCGCTGTGAGCCGTGCCCGGAGCTGTGCACACAGCTCTGAGGTGGGCAGTGGACCGTGAGGCCAGCGGAGCCCCGGGGTCCAAGGCTCTGCCCAGCTGACTGACCGCGGCACATGGGCAGGTGACCTCGCCTCTCTCTGGCCTCAGTTTCCCTGCTGGGATTCGGCTCAGAGGGAGAGAGTGGGCATGGCTGGAGCCTGGGGCTGGCGTCTCTGCGGACCCTGGGGGTATCATCATCCACTTCACGGTAGAGGAAGAGAAGGTTCTGGGCTGGAGCGGTAGGACAGTGGGGAGGGCGGGGTTCAACCCCCTGCACCATAGATGGTTCACCGAACCCTGCCAGGAGTGAGCCCTTAGTACCCCCGGCTGTGGGTGCCCCCCCACCAAAAAAATGTCACTGCCCCCCAAAAAACAAAAGTCATCACTGGTCCAGAGTGTCTTCGGCAGTGGCCCAGCTGGGTCCCCAGTCTCTGGGACCTTCACTCCTCAGCAGGAACCCTGCTGGGGGGGGCGGGAGAGGGAGGGTGCAGGAGGACCTGAGGGGTGCTGCCTGGAGGAGGTGGCCTTTGGGAAGCAGCTGCCCCAGGGTGGGGATTGGGGAGCACTTTATTGGCCTCTTAATGACTGTTTACAAGCCTAAAAGTGTTTGTGGGCTTTCCCCTCCCAGCCAGCCGTTGGGTGGCAGGGCTGCTTCTTGGCCAGCCGAGGAACCGAGGAACGGGGGTGGGGGTGGGGGGGGGAGCCTTGAGACACCCGCCCCCAGAGGCGGGGCAGGCCCTTGTTACAGTTTCCTAGTGGTTTGGGGTCCCAGCGGGCGGTGCTCAGGGTCCCGGCTGTGTGACCCACAAAGCCGCGTCAGCCCTTGGTGCTGAGACTCAGAAACTCTCAGGGGCCACACAGCGAGTGGTCAGCCTGCGCTGGGCTCGGGAGGACGGCGGGGGCATCACTCTGTGCAGGCTGAGGGGGGAGCTGCTGTCGGTCATGTGGCCTTGCCTGTCCTGGGTCTGAGGGCCGGAGGGACAGGCTGGCCGAGCTCTGCCTTCCCACCCTCACCTTCCAAATTGAGCCGGAGCAAAGCCTTGGGGAAGGGGGGGGAGTGGCCTGGGGATTTGGGAGCAGCTGGGGGTTGGAGTTGGGGGTCTGTGACTGCACAGGGGAGTTGACCACTTCCCCACACTGGCGGCATCACAGTTGGCTGACCACTGCCCCCTGCCCACCCTGCCCAACCCGCCCACCCCCACCCAGACCCTCGGCCTGCTCCTCCTGCAGAGGTCTGAGGCTGGCCTGTGACCAAGCACCCCACAATTTTGGGGGGTGTGTGTGCTGGGGGCCTCTGACCCCTTCTGCTGCAAATGACCCTTCCCAGGAGGGCTGTGGCAGGCCGGTGTCCCGCGGCTGGGGGCTGGGGAGTAGCCTTCTCTACACCCGCTGCCGTCCCTGTGTCAGACAGGTTTCGGCTGCCCACACACCCATAGCGGGGCCCCTGCTGGCCTCTGCCCATGCCCTGGGGGTCCCCCCACAGCTAGACGAAGCGGCTCTGCCCCAACAAGGCCCCCCCCTTTCCCCCTCATTCCCCCTGGGAGTCCTCGGGCCACTAGCCTGGCCCAGCCCAAGCCCCCTGGGGCCAAGACTGGGAGGCTCGGAAATGGGGGGGGCTGGTCCCCCTGCATCCCCCCCCCCCCCCATGCCTCGACGCTGAGCTGGCGGCGCCCGGCCCCACCCTCGGCGGGGGAACCGGCTTCTCAGGAGGCGCCCACGTGGCCTTGGGGCTGCGGCTCCATCACTGCCTGATCCAGCCGCTTTGGGAGGTGGCTTCAGCCCAGCCCCTGCACCCCCTCCCCCTCTGCTCAGGTCCCTTTGGGGTCTCAGTCCTGCGCAGGTGGAGAGTCTGTGCTGGGCAGGTCGTGGGGGATGAGAGCAAGCCTGGAGGCTCCCTCTTGAACCTGGGGTCGGGGGGCGTGTCCAGGAGCAGTGGGTCCTTGATGGCCTCACTTCCTCTGCGATGAGCCAGCACTCCTGCACACTTTCATTCCTGGCACCTGCTCCTGAGCTCAGATTCCCCCGCTCCTGGGGCTCCCGTCCCGGGCTCGGGGGCTTCTGGACCCCCACACTGTGTCTGCAGGAGCAGGAGTTCTGCCTCGGGGAGAGCCCTGGGGAAAAGCGGGGTTGGTTGGTTGGTTTTTTGCTTTTTGAGTCAGACCTGGCGATGCACAGGGGTTACTCCTGGCTCTGCACTCAGGAATCACTCCCGGCGCTGCTCGGGGGACCAGATGGGATGCTGGGAATCGAACCCGGGTTGGCCACGTGCAAGGCAAACGCCCTCCCCGCTGTACTATTGCTCCAGCCCCAGAAAGAGGTTTTTATCCATGACCTGTGGGTGGCCATGCTGGGCCTTCACCTCGTTCAGCTCCCTTGCTGACAGGGAAGGAAACTGAGGCAGCGGGCTGGTGCAGCATCTCACAGACTCAGTGCTGCTGTCACGACGCTGAGGTGGGGTCTGGAGAGACGTTTATTCCGATCTCTTTGCAAGGAGGTTGAACTACATCTGGCGGTGCTCAGGGCTGATTCCTGGCTCTGCGCTCAGGGATCACCCCTGGGGGGACTCTGGGCTCCCTAAGGGGTGCTGGGGACAGAACCCAGGTGGGCCGGGTGCAAGGCAGGCACCCTCCCGACAGTACTCCCCTCTCTCTCTCTCTCTCTCTCTCTCTCTCTTTTGGGGGTTGGTTTTGCTGGGTATGGATGCAAGGCCAGCATCCAAGAGCCGCCTCCAGAGTGCCCAGAGCAGTGCTCCTAGCCCTTGGGGCATCTGGGGGAGGTGCTCCCAACCATCAGGGTGCCTGGGAGGTGCTCCCAGCCCTTGGGGTGCCTGGGAGGTGCTCCCAGTCTGATCTCACGCCCTGCAGCCAGGCAGGCTTTGGGGTCCCAAGATTGCCCCAGGTCTGAAGGTCCTGGACCCTGCCCAGATGTCCCAGTGGTGTGTGGCCAGAGCAGAGGCAGGTGGGACAGCACTCGGTGGAACCTTCCGGAGTCTGCCACTTCCTGGTGTGCTGCCCTGGGGAGACAGTATCGTCCCGTCTGTGACTAGCCGTCTCTGGTCCCACATAGAACCACTGAAGGGCAAACTGCCTGTGGAGCGGGCGGAGAGCATGTCCATGGGGCTAGATTTCTGCCAAGTCCCATGAGACGGCAGGTGGGTTCTGCCGGGGGTAACCAAGAAGGCTTCCTGGAAGAGGCGACCTTCTCCTTCTTGAAAAGTCAGCATTGGCTGGGCAGGAGCCGCAGCAAGCGTGGCTGCAGGGAGAGGTGACAGCCTGTTTCCAGGAGGCTCTGCCTGCCAGGTGACCTCACCTGAGCGCCCACACACTCACTCGCTAGGGCCAGTCTCCCAGCGCGATGCCCGCCCGATGCCCTCGCACTGCGCCCAGGCCCCAAAGGAGGCTGGGGGGGGGGGGGGAGGAACTTTCCGTGTGGGGCCCCCGGGGAGGCTGTTGTCTTGGAACCGCTCCCACACGCCACGGCAAGGCATCCTGCCTGGCTGCCGTCTGCCTGGGGCGTGGGGTCACGGCCCAGACCCCAAAGATGCAGGAAGTGGGGCCAGAGAGACAGGGCGGCGCCCAGGGCACTTGCCTGGCACACAGTGACTCAGGTTCGACCCCCGGCACCCATAGGGTCCTGCGCCCACCAGGAGTGTCCCAGAGCAGAGCCAGCAGGAAGCCCCAAGCGCTGCCCGCTGTGGCCCTGCACGTGGCTGACCCGGGTTCCATCCCCAACATTCCAGACGGTCCCCTGCGCGGCACCGGGACTGTTTCCTGAGTGCAGAGCCAGGAGTAAGCCCTGAACACTCCCGGGCGTGGCCCTGAACCAGAAAGAACAGACAGACAGTCAACAGTTCCTGGGCTCCTGAGTGAAGTGGTTTCTAGCAAACTGGTGTCGAAACAGGAAAACCAGGACCAGCTCGCCGCGGCTTCTGTCCTGGTGCAGGGCAGGTGCGGTTTGGGTTTTCGGTTTGAATATTTGGATCTGGTGTTTTTCGTTTTTTTTTTTTTTTTCTTTAACCCTGGGCTAAAGCCTGGACTCATCCCCCTCCCCCCACCATCAGTGTACTTCAGGGGGGCGGGGAACCTTCCACGTACGTTTGCCTTGCTGACCCAGGTTCGATCCTCGGCATCCCATATGGTCCCCTAAGCGACACCAGGAGTAATTCCTGAGTGCAGAGCCAGGAGTGAGCCTGGAACATGGCTGGGTGTGGGCACAAATTAAAAAAAAAAAAGGAAAGGGGCAAAGCGATAGTACAGCGGGTAGAGGACTTGCCTTACACACAGCCGACCCAGGTTTGATTACCAGAATCCCATAGAGTCCCCCAAGCCCTGCCAGGAGTGATCCCTGAGCGCAGAACCAGGAACAAGTCCTGCGTGACCCAAAAATGCTGCCCAAACAATTTTTTTTTTTAAGAGGAAACCCAAACTACAGATGAGAAAATAGGTCTGGAAGAGGAAGCCCCAAGCCCGCAGGCCTGCCACAGCGTCCTTCCCTCTCTCTAGGCTGTGGCCAGGCTGGGCGCGGGAGCATGTCCGTCTGTCCTTCCGTACTGACTCACCATCCACCTGCTGTGCCAGTAGAGGCCTAATGCCAGAGGTCTGTCCGGAGGGAGGCACCGGACATGCTCTGAAGACCCCCTAAGAACCCCCTGAACAGTGCCAGGCTCACATCTACAGTAAGTGCTGACGGGGTTCAGGGTGCATCCCGGAACAGGGTCGAGAGAGGGGGTGGTGCTTTGCGGGGCCGGGTCGGATGGCGGCAGCTCCCGTCCTGGGAGCCAGAGGGGCCGCCCACCCAGTGGTCCAGGGCTGGCCTCAGGCATGGCCACACCCTGGGGCAGCTGTTGAGGGTCACTGGGGGCCCCTTTGCATCATGGGGACCGGGAGCCAGTCCTGGGGTGTCATCAGGGCCACCAGTGCAGGAGCTGGATGGAGGGGCCTGACACACGTGGAGGGGTGGGTGGCAGTGCTTGGTGGCCTATTCCCGACCCCGAGACAGTGCCCGCTTGCCGGGCCCGAGGGGGAAGGAGTCCCTGGGTCTGGGAACATGGGTGAGAAGCAGGCTGAGGAAGTCGGAAGAGGAAATGGCCGCAAGTTCACCGTCCGGGTCCCGGGACAGAAGGGGGCTGCAGAAGGAGCCTGACGTGGGGGTGGGCAGTGGGATTCCTGCTGTATGGAGCTGGCCAGAGCTGCTCCCTGGGACCTGGGTGTCTAGGTCTGTGGGTGTGGACACGGGCCAGTGACCACACGGCCCTGCCCACTCTCAGTTTCGACCCCTGGAGATGGTTTTGCAGGAGAACCCGCAGCCACAGCGTCCCGCAGATGAGTGCCCAGAACCTCCTTTCTTCCCCAAGATGGAACCGTTTTTTCCTCTTAATGAGGAAAGTGCTGCCAGGGGTTGGTTCATTGCCTGAGAAAGGGGAAGCAGGCGCGCGGGCCGGACCCTCACCCATCCCAACTGCTGGGCCTCCCATCTGAACTGATCACTGTCTTGTTCTTTCACTTTGGGCCACACCCAGCTGTGCTTAGGGTTTGCCGCTGGCTCTGTGCTCAGGGCTCACTCTTGGCTCAGTGCTCAGGGTTCACTCCCGGCTCTGTGCTCAGGGATGACTCCTGGCTCTGTGCTCAGGGATGACTCCTGGCTCTGTGCTCAGGGATCACTCCTGGCTCTGTGCTCAGGGTTCACTCTCAGCTCTATGCTCAGGGATTACCCCTGGCTTTGTACTCAGGGCTGACTCCTGGCTCTGTGCTCAGGGCTGACTCCCGGCTCTGTGCTCAGGGCTCACTCGTGGTAGGGCTCCGGGGAGCCTTTGTATTGCCGGGGATGGAACCTGGGTTGGCCGTACGCAAGCCCAGGGCCCCTGCTGTCCGGTGGCACCCGCCCTCCCAGCATTAGGTCTGAGCCGACGCGGTGCAGGTCCGCCAGCTGCGGCCCACCCTGGCCAGGCTTCCGTGTCTCAGCCCTTGCAGCTGCCCAGCCTCCTGCCTGCCATGGCCTCCGGTGACAAGAATGGCGACGGCGTCTGTGCGTCCAGCAGCCGCCTGCAGAGCCGGAAGCCCCCCAACTTGTCCATCACCATCCCCCCACCCGAGCCCCTGGCCCCCAGCGAGCAGACCAGCACGCTCACACTGCTGCAGGTGGGCCCCAAGCCGCCACGCCACAGGGTCCCCCAGCCCTGTCCTCCCACTGGGACCGTGACAGAGGCCGGCCCTGTCCCCCGCCCAGCCCCCGCCGGGCTCCCTAAAGGGCTCATTGACCGGGGCTGGGAGCCGGGGGCGGGGGTCTGTAGGCTCAGACAGAGGGAGCACTGTTGTTGCTGCCCACTCACCCCGGTCTGGAACATTCTGAAACCTGCACCTCAGCCGCAAAAGGGTCAGGGGCACCCCCGGGGAGCCGCCTCAGACACCTGCCGGGACCCACCTTCCGCCCCTCCCCCAGAGGCCCAGGAATCCCGCCTACCTGAAGAGCGTCAGCCTGCAGGAGCCCCGGCCATGGCAGGACAGCCAGGACAAGCGGCCGGGCCTGAAGCGCCAGGCCTCGCTGTCCCAGAGCATCCGCAAGTGAGCCGCGCCCAGCACCCCCGCCCGGCACCCCCCTCCGGCACCCCACGCCCACCCAGACTCCCTGCCCGGGCATCCTCACCCCAGCATCTCCGCCCAGGCCCCCTCATCCCTGGGACCCTCCCACCCTCGCGAGCTCCCTGGACCCTCCAGGCCCCCAGCACCCCTGCTCTGAGGCCGCTGCACCCAGGCACCCCTGGGCCCCCATGTCCCAGTGGACGTGCACGGGGAGGGGCTCTGACTGCCGAGTAAGGTTGGGTGTCAAGACTTCCGCATGAGACATCAGTGTGGATGGTGGGGGGGGGGTTCAGGGGTCCCTCCAGGCATTCCCCAAAGCCCACCGGCTCAGCTCCACTGCTGCCCGCTGATCCCCGGGTTCCAGCGCCCCACTCTGTCCCCATCCACACCGACACCGGCCCTGTCCACCCCCCCACACACACCATCCCCTCACAACCCCTTCCCTGTCCCTCCCCCTCCCCCATCCCTTCCCCTCTCCCTCCCATCCCCTCACCTTCGCAGGGGCACGGCGCAGTGGTTCGGGGTGAGTGGCGATGGCGAGTGGCGGCGCCAGCACTGGCAGCGCCGCAGCCTGCACCACTGCAGCGTGCGCTATGGGCGCCTCAAGGCCTCATGCCAGCGGGACCTGGAGCTGCCCAGCCAGGAGGCGCTGTCCTTCCAGGGCACCGAGTCGCCCCGGCCCTGCAAGCTGCCCAAGGTGGGTGCATGGAGGAGGGTACGGTGGTGGCGAGTCCCCCGCAGTCCCCCCCGCCATGCCCTGCTCACCACTTGCCTGTCCACCCAGATTGTGGACCCGCTGGCCCGGGGCCGGGCCTTCCGCCACCCTGACGAGGTGGACCGGCCCCACGCGCCACCCACACCTGGGGTGCTGTCGCTCACCTCCTTCACCAGCGTGCGCTCTGGACACCTGCCCCGGCGCAAGAGACTGTCGGTGGCCCACATGAGCCTGCAGGCCGCGGCCGCCCTGCTCAAGGTGAGGCGCCCTGGGCAGAGCCTGGGGATGCTGGGGGCTCGGCGGGGGGGCAGGGCAGGGCCTGGTGGGTCCCCTTTGGGGGCTCCAAGCAGGGCCTGGCCAGGAGAGGAGCAGGTCTCAGGAAGGCGCTGGCAGAAAGGCCCCCACAAGGCAGGAGGAAGCTGCTTCTCCAGGCGGGGCAGCAGGACGCCGCAGGGAACAGTAAGGGACAGCAAGAAGCCACATTCGCAGCCTGGGGGGAACGGCCAGAGTAGGGAGCAGCAGGCAGTGAGATGGGGTGGGTGTGAGTCAGCGATTGGGCGAGATCTGGGGGTGCTATTCAGGAGACCAGCGTGGGGGCCCCTGCGGCTTCCAGCCAGGCGGGAGGACACTGCCTGGCTGGGACCCACGTGCACCCCGCTGATGCGGGCCTGAGGCGTGGGGGTGCCCGACGGGCTCTGGCCTCCTTGCCTCTCGCAGGGACGCTCGGTGCTGGAGGCCGCTAGCCAGCGGTGCCCAGCGGTCAAGCGCAGCTTTGCCTACCCCAGCTTCCTGGAGGAGGACGCGGTCGACGGGGCGGATACCTTCGACTCCTCCTTCTTCAGCAAGGCAAGTGTGGGCCAGGAGGGGCTGCCTCACGGTTCTGCCCGCAGCTGGGGGGGTTGTCGGGCTGGGTCTGGGTGCGTGGGGGTGGGAACGTGGGGTGGGACGGGTGCGTGGGGGTGGGGACACGGGGTGGGAGGGGATACGCCTTCCGCACAGCCCAGCCCTTTCTGCTCGGGGCCACCTGCGTCCCATCCGCGCCCGGGCCCGCCTCGTGGGCTCAGGCTGCCTGCTGTCCCCCTCCGCAGGAGGAAATGAGCTCCATGCCTGACGACGTGTTTGAGTCCCCCCCACTCTCGGCCAGCTACTTCCGGGCTGTCCCGCGCTCGGCTCCCCCGCTGACCCCCGACGGCGTGCAGGTCCCCCTGTGAGTTCTGGGGTCAGGTGGGGGGCAGTGCCCTGTCCCCCTCCCAGGGTGTGTGGGATACCCCAGGGGGGCATCCGGCTGAGCGCCCCGCCCCATCCCCAGGAAGGAGTCCGGCCGAGCCGCCATCCCCGCTGCCCGCCGCGGCAAGCGCCTGGCCGCCCGGGTCAAGTACTTCGCCTTCGCCCGCAAGCGGCGGCACTACGGCCTGGGTGTGGTGGGCGGCTGGCTGAACCGCTCCTACCGCCGCAGCATCAGCAGCACCGTGCAGCGGCAGCTCGAGAGCTTCGACAGTCACCGGTGAGCCTCCCAGCCACGCACGCATGCATGCAGGCCATGCCTCATCCAGCACGCACGCGGGCCACGGCCCATCCAGCAAGCACGTATGCAGGCCACGCCCCATCCATGCATGCATGCATGCAGGCCTCCCCCATCCATACACACACGCATGCACGCAGGCCGTGCCCCATCCAGCACACACGCGGGCCACGCCCCATACAGCAGACATGCACGCGGGCCATGCCCCATCCACACATGCATGCATGCATGCATACCTCTTCTCCCCCACACACATGTATGCATGCACGCAGGACATACCCTTATTCACGCAGGCACGCATGCAGGCCTGCCTCATCCACGCTCACATGCACACTTGCTTCCATGCACCACACCTCACCTATCCATGCTTGCGGACACAGAAGCACACACTCCTACACTCACAGCCCCCCAGGCATGCACACACAGCTCCCTACCCGCACACACACATAATCTTCCCTGCACATACACAGCCCTTCCACCCCTGAAACACTCAACCCTGGGGAAGGGTTCTCTGGTGCCCCCTTCCTCCTCCCCTTTCTGCGGTCCTGGGGTCTCAGCCTGGTTTCCAGACAGTCGCTTACCCACAGAAGTTAGGGGTCGTCACTCGGGCCCTGGAGCAGGGCTGCAACCGGGGTGAGGGGTCGCCGGGAAAGGATCGGAGCTAGAGTCTTGGGGGCCGAGTCTCACAGTGGTTCGGTTGGCTGGACCCCAAGGACGAAGTGTAATGAGGGGTGGAGCAGACCCCAGTTTGACCCTTGGCACCAAGATGGTCCCTGAGCACTGCCGGAGTAGCCCCTGAACACCCTGGAGTAGCCCAAACAGCTCCCTGAAATAAAAGGGGTGCCAGTGGCCCCAAGAAAACACCCTGGGGCAGAATGCAGGGAGACCTCAGAGTGTCGCCACTGGGGAAACGTGTCTCGAGGCCCTCGGGCAGCTGCGGCTCCCTCACCCCAGGAGCCAGAGGCAAGATGAGACTCGGGCAGCCAGTGGGAAGCCGGACCCACTGACCCGACCATGTCCACAGGCCCTACTTCACCTACTGGCTGACCTTCGTGCACATCATCGTCACGCTGCTGGTGATGTGCACATATGGGGTGGCACCCGTCGGCTTTGCCCAGCATGTGACCTCCCAGCTGGTAAGGCCAGGGGGCTCCCCACACACCCACAAGTACAGGGTGCAGGGTGGGGACAGGGGACTCCCTCTTCCAGCAACAGCCAGGCCCAAGGGAGAGGGCACCCAGCTTTCCCGTCAGCTCCTTCCTGGGTTCTAGCCAGGGACCGGGACCCCTTCCTGTCTCGGCCCCAGGTGCTCAGGAACAAAGGCGTGTATGAGAGCGTGAAGTACATCCAGCAGGAGAACTTCTGGATCGGCCCTAGCTCGGTGAGCACAAAGCCCTGGTCCGCTGCCTCTCGGGCAGAGAGGGGGACTGTCCCTGAGCCTGCTCTTCTCGCCTAGATTGACCTCATCCACCTGGGAGCCAAATTCTCGCCCTGCATCCGGAAGGACCGGCAGATCGAGCAGCTGGTCCGGCGGGAGCAGGAGCAGGAGAGGGAGTCGGGCTGCTGCGTGCAGAACGACCGTTCGGGCTGCATCCAGACCCAGCGCCAAGACTGCTCGGTGCGCTGCCTCCTGGGGGGCTTGTGCCCACCTTGCAGGCCCCGCCCCTCAGACGAGGCCCCGCCTCCAGCCCCACCCTTCAGACTAGGCCCCACCTCATCTACTACACCCACTTGCCCAGCTCCCCAGCCTCACCCATTCCTCCTTCTCTGCCCCAACCCGCCCTCCCACACCCACACCCCAGCCCGGACCCAGAGGCCCCCAGACTAGGGTGTCTGGCTGCTTAGCCAGGGTCCAGAAGAACCTGTGAGTGTGTCTGAGGGTGTGTTTGGTGGCCCCTGGCCCCTCAGTGAGCTGTGTTCTAGCTGTGACCAGCCCCCCTGGTTCTGCAGGAGACTCTGGCCACTTTTGTCAAGTGGCAGGATGACACTGGGCCACCCATGGACAAGTCTGACCGGGGCCCAAGGCGGACCTCAGGGGCCGTGTGCCAGCAGGACCCCAGGTGGGCAGGGGCTGAGGCCCTCCTGCAGGGTGGCGGGTGGGGGCAGCAGGTGGGAGGGAGGGGCACCCCCTTCTCTGTCTCCTGATGTTTTCCAGAACCTGTGAGGAGCCGGCCTCCAGCGGGGCCCACATCTGGCCTGATGACATCACCAAGTGGCCGGTGAGTGTCTGAGGGTGTCGGGGTGAGTGAGGGTGTCGGGGTGTCTGAGGGTGTTGGGGTGTGTCAGGGTGTCGAGGTGAGTATGTCTGAGGGTGTGAGGATGTCAGGATGTGTCTGAGGGTGTTGGGGTGAGTGTCGAGGGTGTCGGGGTGAGTGTATCTGAGAGTGTCAGTGAGCATCAGGGTAACTGTGTGTGGTGGTGTCAGGAGAGTATGTGGGGTTGAGTGTACAGGACGGCTGTTGGAGTGTGTTGAGATGAGGGTATCTGTACTGGGTGAGTGTATTGTGGTATGTTGGGGTGGGTGTATCTGTATCAGGATGTGTTGGTGTGAGTATATCAGGGCGTGTTGGGGGAATGTGTGTGTGTGTGTGTGTGTGTGTGCGCGCGCGCGCGCGCGCACATGTGTGATGTGTGAGCGTGTTGGGGTGAGTGGGTGTGTCGGGGAAGTGTGTGGAGTCTCTGTGAGTGTGTCAGAGTGAGGGAGTGTTTCGGGTGTGCTGGGGGTGTGGAGTCTGTGTGTGTGAGCGTGTCAGGGTGAGGGAATACGTGGGGCTGTGGGGGGGCAGGCAGAGTGCCTGGCTGCAGCCCCCGTCTTGCACAGATCTGCACGGAGCAGGCCCGCAGTAACAAGTCGGGTTTCCTACACATGGACTGCCAGATCCGCGGCCGCCCCTGCTGCATCGGCACCAAGGGCAGGTGAGCCCCGAGTCCCCCCCCCCCCGCCCCAGGGATGAGCAGGACAGTGGGCAGGGCTCGGGGTCCTGATGTACCCCCTGCCTGCCACCCGCAGCTGTGAGATCACCACGCGCGAGTACTGCGAATTCATGCACGGCTACTTCCATGAGGAAGCCACGCTCTGCTCCCAGGTGAGTTGGCGAGGGCCTCTGTGCCCCATCCGCACCCGCTCCCTTTGCCAGTAGGGGCCCAACTGTCCCCATCCCCCAGGTGCACTGCCTGGACAAGGTCTGCGGCCTGCTGCCCTTCCTCAACCCCGAGGTCCCGGACCAGTTCTACCGCCTCTGGCTGTCGCTGTTCCTTCATGCTGGGTAAGAGGCCCGCCTGCCCCCAACCTGGTGCACCCCCAGCCAGGCCTGGTGAGAGTCCCGCCTGCCCTGGCACTGGGCACAGCCTGGCACACCCCCGGCAGGGGGCAGGCCCAGGGGAAAGGCGAACGCCATGTCTCTGCCAGCGTGGTGCACTGCCTGGTGTCCGTGGTCTTCCAAATGACCATCCTGCGGGACCTGGAGAAGCTGGCTGGCTGGCACCGCATCTCCATCATCTTCGTGCTCAGCGGCATCACGGGCAACCTGGCCAGCGCCATCTTCCTCCCGTACCGGGCAGAGGTAGGTCTGGACATGTGGCTGCAGCTCATGGCCCCGGGCTGGCCCCACAGGCAGTCTGAGGGCTTCCAGATCTGTCTCTTTGTACCAGGGCAAGGAGTGGGGGTCCTCCTGAAATGTGCCCAGATGTCTTGAGGGAGATTTTCCTGTCCCCACCCGCACCCTGTGCCTCACTCTCTTTGCTTTGGCTCCTGGGCCTCAGGGCGCCTCTCCTGGCAACTCTTAGCGACAGGGTCAGACCATTTTGTGATTCATCTCAACAAGATTGGGGGCCACCTAGGCAACCCCATCAGTGCCTGGGGAACAGCTGGTGCTGGGGACTGGATTCCTGGATGCCTTGCATCCCTCATTGAACTAGCCGCCTGGCCCCCTCACTCAGCTCTGGGTGTTTGTTTCTTGGGCCGCACCCAGCAGTGCTCAGGGCTTACTCCTGGCAGCACTCGGGACCATATGGGATGCCGAGGATCAAACCAGAGTTCACTGGTGCCTGGCAAGCACCCTACCCACTGTGCTATTGCCCTGGCATCTGAGCGTTGTTTTTTTGTGAGCATATCACTGCCTGCACCAGAGATACAGGCCAAGCCCAGTGGGCCAGTGCAGGCAGCAGATTCGAGGCCCCGGGTCCACACCAGCCTGCAGACATACGTTAGCTCAGGGGCCGACACGAGCCAGTTTCGTGAGCTGGTTGGCTGGCACCAAGCTGGCTTGGGGGGGCTTCGGGGAGGATGGCCCCCATTCCTCGCGACCAGCGCAGCCTGGCAGCACCTGCCCCTGTGCCCCTGCAGGTGGGCCCGGCCGGCTCCCAGTTCGGCCTGCTCGCCTGCCTCTTCGTGGAGCTCTTCCAGAGCTGGCAGCTGCTGGAGCGACCCTGGAAGGCCTTCCTGAACCTGTCGGCCATCATGCTCTTCCTCTTCATCTGCGGCCTGCTGCCCTGGATCGACAACATCGCCCACATCTTCGGCTTCCTCAGCGGCCTGCTGCTGGCCTTCGCCTTCCTGCCCTACATCACCTTCGGCACCAGCGACAAGTACCGCAAGCGGGCCCTCATCCTGGTGTCCCTGCTGGTCTTCGCCGGCCTCTTCGCCTCGCTCGTGATCTGGCTCTACGTCTACCCCATCAACTGGCCCTGGATCGAGCACCTCACCTGCTTCCCCTTCACCAGCCGCTTCTGCGAGAAGTACGAGCTGGACCAGGCGCTGCACTGAGCCGCCCCGACCCAGAAGAACCACTCAGAGCCGAAGGCCCCGCCCCATCGGAAGGTCCCGCCCATCAAAAGGCCCCGCCCCTACCAGAAGGTCCCGCCCATCAAAAGCCCCCGCCCCTACCGGAAGGTCCCGCCCATCAAAAGACCCCGCCCCTACCGGAAGGTCCCGCCCAGAGCCGGAAGCTGTGTCCAGCCTCGCACCTTCACTCCTGACTGCCGGTGGGCCCAGGCTCAGGAATATCTACCTGGCTGGGCAGCCAGACCTGGACTTCCTGTCTGTATCGGGACGCCCCCTGGGGCACTTTCTTCCTGGTCAGGGTCCCCGGGCTGCTGCTACTGCTGTGTCCTTTCCCACGAGCGTGGGGATGGGGGGCTTCCAGCCCAGCTCCCCCTCCTGACCTGCCTTTCCTCTCTGCCCGTGGGGCTCTGCATTTGCCAGTGGCCTGTGTAGGTGCCCGTCGGGCAGCTGGCCTCTGTGGCCATGGCCGTAGCCCTGGTTGTGGCTGGGAGTGAGCCAGCCAGGCCATAGGCACGGCTTTCCCTGTACCTGGTGGACGGAGGCTGCCCTGACCTCCTCTCCCGTCAGTGTTTGCCCTGACTGCAGGGCCAGCCAACCCCCACCTCAACCTCATTCAGCCCAGGTGGGCATGGGGATCCCCACATCATGTCCAGGGGTAAAAAAGGGAGGCCCTTTTTTTTTAAATATATATATTTCTATGATCACCTACTTTTTTTTTTTAAAGTAAAGCTAACTTTGTATGGATAATGTCTCAAATGTATTAAAAGATACTTTTTCAAAGCATCGTTGGACCTGAGGCTATGTAGGTGAAGAAGGCTGGGCCTCTACTGGAGGTACAGGTGAGTGAAGGCTGGGCCTCTACTGGGGGGTGGGTAGTGAATTTCAGGGGATTTGGTTGGGCTGGATCCAGGTTAGGGTTCTCCCGAGGCCAATCCTTAGACCCCTGGGTTCTCGGAGTGCCTAGCCGAGCCAGGGTTGGGGTCCTTCCCCCTCCGAACTAGGCTCCCATCACCCTCTGGGGAGTCTCGGGTAGTCTGTTTGCGGACAGGGGGCGAGTGGGGGGCGGCTGGGTGAGCAGATGCCCCTGGGGCCGACTCGCTCTTGATTGCAGGGAGGGCGGGAAGGGGGCCCACGGAGATGCCCAGGTCCCCGCCCCCTCCCACTGAAGTTCCAGGCCAGGGTGTTGGGGCCCCGGAATACAGGATCCGACCGCGGCCAGGCCGAGGCGGCTCAGCAGCCGCTGTTCCTGCGCACGGACGCGTGGCCGCGCAGCGAGCACCCGAGCTCGGTGAAGGCCAGCGCGCCGGCAGCCGCGGCGCAGGGGCCCAGGCGGCGGAAGCCGCAGCGCTCGTAGAAGGGCACGAGGGGCGCCTGGCACATGAGCGCGGCGCGGCGCACGGCCAGGCCGCCCAGGTGCTGCAGGTAGCGCCAGAGCAGCGCGGGGCCCTTGCCCTGCTGGCGGAAGGTGCGGCGCACAGCCAGAACGTGCAGGTGGGCGGTGCGGCCCCCCGGCCGGTGCGCGGTCAGCGACTCCTGGGGGCAGAGGGCGCGTTGTCACTCAGAGCTGCCGGTGGGTGTCCCCGCCCGTGGGAGCCCCAGTGCCCCAGAGACCCACAAGCACTGTGATCTTAGGGGATCCTCCCAAGAGGACTCGGGGCGGGCTCACCCCTGCAGACTTCCAGCCAAGCAGCGTGCCCGCGGAGCGCTGGGGACCACCAGGCTCACACCCATCAGTGCTGGGAAGGCCAGAGGGGGCTAGAGGCGGGCCCTAACTCCTGCACCATCTCCTCCCCACACCGGGTGATGCCCGGGACTCCTGGCTCTGTGCTCAGAAAAATCATTTGTAAGGGAGTTTAGGGGACCGTAAGTGGTGCCAGGAACTGAATCCGGGTCACCTGCGTGCAAGGCCAGCGCCCTCTCCGTCGTGCTCTCTCGGCCCAGGCACTACACAGTTCTCCCGCCTTGGGAGAGGTCCCAGTGTGTCTCTGCGTTGATGGGTCCCAGGGCTGGAGCTCTCCCTCCATGGCCTTCCCGGGGCAGGGCAGCTGCCTCACCTGCGTGAGCCTCTCCTCGTCCCACAGCGAGCCGATGATAAAGGCCACGAGGCAGCCCTCCTGGAACCAGCCGAGGGACAGCTCCGGACACAGGGTGAGGAAGTGGCGAATGGTGTCTGGGTCCAAGGGGCACAGGCCCGAGACGGAGACAAAAGCTGCAGGGGGTGGTTCTGTGGTCACCGTACCACAGACACGTGCCACGGATCCACCGGCTGTCACAGGCAGACCACCTGGGAGACCACCCAGCCCGGAAAGCAGGGGTGCCTGTCCCCCCCGCCCCCGGCTTTCCCTCCCGTGCCCCTGCACGCATGCCCGTGCCCACTGCAAGGCTCTGGCCGCTCAGCGGGAGTTAGGTGTGCCCACCTTCCTGCTCGATCTCGAACACGCAGGCAGCATCCTGGGGTGTGAGGCAGCGAAATTCGCTGGCGGGGAGCGTGTGGCGCCGCTGGGGGCTCGGGAACTCCAAAGCAGTCCCGGGCATTGACATCCTGGCCTCAGGAGCCACCGAGGGGGCCCAGGACCTGTGTGCGGGGATCCGGCTGGAGGGCGGAGGCAGGGAAACCCCACTGCCTCTGTGTGTGTGTGTGTGTGTGCGCGCGCGCGCGCGCGCACGCGTGCACGCACGGCACTGGCACTGGGGATCGAACCCAGGGCCTCACAGACGCAAGGCGAGTGTGGTTTGGGGAGCAGACAAGGCGGTGCTCAAAGGACCACATGGGGTGCCAGAGTCGGGGTCGGACCCAAGTCAGCTACCTACAAGACAAGCGCCTCACTGCTGGACTACCTCTCTGGCGCAGATTATTTTTGTTTTATTTGGGGGCCACACCCAGCAGTGCTCGGGCTTCCTCCTGGCTCTGCGCTCCGGGGCCAGTCCTGATGGGGCTCGGGGACCGTATGGGGTGCCCCAGGCATTGAGCCTGGCTGTTTTTTTGTCCGACCAAATTTTTGTTGTGTTGTTCAGGGGTCGCCCCTGGCTCTGCTCTTAGGAATTACTCCTGGCTCAGGGGCTCAGACGGGATGCTCGCGATTGAACCCAGATTGGCCAGATGCCAGGCAAATGCCCTCCCCGCTGAACTGGCGCTCCCGCCCCTTGTACTACCAGATTCGCTTTTAGGTGTTTGTGAGGCTGGAGGGGGGACAGGGGCACATTCCCAGAGGAGCTGCAGGACCACAGCGACCCACAAGGCGCCTGCCTCCCTGAGGCCCCAATGCCCTTAGCCTGCCTGCACTCTCAGGTGGGGGCAGGTGGGGGGCATCGCCTGCCCCTGGCTTATTGCAGGTCGCTGGCCTCACCCTGTGCCCCTTTTGGTCTTCCCTGGCACCCCACGATGCCAGGATTGAACCTGCGGCGTTGAATGCCAAGCATGTGCTCAGGCCCCCAGAGTTGGTCCCAACTCTGGTTTGCAGTTCTTAGGGGAGACACTCCCTACTTAAAAAAAAAAAAAACCTGGAGGGGCGGGCTGGAGGGATAATACAATAGGGAAGGCACTTGCCTTGCATGTGACCAACCCTGGTTAGATCCCGGCATCCTATAGGGCCCCCCACAGCCAGGAGTGATCCCTGAGTGCAGAGCCAGGAATAAGCCCAAGTGCAGCTGGGTGTGGCTCCAAACCCAAACAAACAAAAAAAAACAACACCACACACACCCACCTCCAAAAGCACCTAGAAGGCCAGAGAGATCCTGCAGTGGGAGCTGGTTCTGCGCTTGGCCAGCTGGGCTCAATTCCCAGCAAGCCATGTGGGTCTTGAACCCCACCAGGAAGGATTCCTGAGCTCAGAGTCAGCCCTGAGCACCACTAGCTGTGGCGCAAGATAACAAAATTAACCCAGTCCTACCCCATTTTTTTTTCGCGGGGAGAGAGGGAGTCACACCCAGCGATGCTCAGGGGTTCCTCCTGGCTCTGCACTCAGGAATCACTCCTGGCAGTGCTGGGGGCAACCATATGGGATGCCGGGAACCAAGTCCGTCCAGACACATGCAAGGCAAACGCCCTCCCTGCTGTTCTATTGCTCTGGCCCGTCTTGCTCCTTTTCTACTTCTCCTTGCTCACCCCCTTTCACCTGCCCCCCCCCCATTGCTGCCACCCAGAGGCCCCGTCCCTGAAGGCTGAGTCCCACTTACCGGGATGGGAGGAAGACCCCTGGTGCCCACTGCAGTGCAGGTCACTCGATTGGGAGGATTGGGAGGTTCTGGGCGTCACTGGGCACGTGACCGACTCAGTTCTGATCCTCTGCCCGGCCCTGGAGCGGGCTCCATGCTGGGCCTGCTGGCTGAGGCCAAGCGCTCCAGGCCAGGAGGGGATTACACGGCCAGGGGTGGGCTGGGGTTTGGGGCTGAGCAGGCTAATCGCCTGGAGTCCGGCTCTAATCCCCCTCTGTGCCCGCTCCCTGGCTAGGGCAGGCACTGAGCCTCCGGGGAAGCCCCCCAAGGGTCGTGTCCCCCTGCCTCACTAAAGCTCTGAGCTGGGAGCATCTCACGACAGGCCTGTCTGCGGGCCCCTCAGCCCACCCGTGAGGACCAGCCCGTCTTACAGAGAAGGTTCCAGAATGAGGTTCCCCAAGGTCAGCCTGCCCCCCGGGGCCTCAGCAAGTCGCGGGAGCCGGAGAGACTGTGCCAGGTGTCCAGGGGGCCATGTCACTTCTCCACGGCGCTCCTGCTGCCTCGCACGCGGCCTCAGTCTCCCTGCACAGCTGAGAGTAGGGCCCACGCCTAAGACAGGCAGGGGGGTTCGGGGGGTCTGTGCGGTGGGGTGTAAACCCTACCCAGAGCCCCCCCCAAGTGACCTGAGGAGAGCCGTGAACCCCCAGCCCCCTCCCCCATCACATCCTCCATCCTGGCCATCCGTCGGCCACCCGGCGGAGCAGATCATGGCCACAGCAGCCAGGTCCATCCTATAAGTGGGTGGACAAGGAGAGGGTCATGCTGAGTGCAATGAGTCAGGAGGAAGGGGGATAGATATGGAATGACTGCATTCATTTGTGGGATATAAAAAAATATATAGTAGAAGACTAGTATTGAAGGCCAGGGAAAGCCGGGGCTAGGAGGACTGGTCAATGGTTGGAACCAGTCACGAGTGGGTGTGGGGCAGAGGGTGGGTAAAACAGAAGGGACCAGGATGACAATAATAGCTGGGAATGATCACGCAGGACAAGAATCAGGTGTTAAAAGTAGGTAAAGAGATATACACACTAACTTTCAGTATCTTTTTTTTTAACCTTTTTTTTTTTGCCTGCTTTTTTTTTGGGGGGGGGTCACACCTGGCGATGCACAGGGGTTACTCCTGGCTCTGCACTCAGGAATTACCCCTGGTGATGCTCAGGGGACCGTATGGGATGCTGGGGATCAAACCAGTGTCGGCCGCATGCAAGGCAAATGCCCTACCCGCTGTGCTATCACTCTAACCCCACCTTTCAGTATCTTATTGCAGACTGTAGCACTGTCCTCCTGTTGTTCGATTTGCTCGAGTGGTCGCCAGTAACGTCTCCATTGTGACACTTGTTACTGTTTTTGACATATCGGATAGGCCAGGAAGAGCTTGTCAGGCTCTGCTGTGTGGATGGGATATTCATGGTAGCTTGCCGGGCTCTCTGAGAGGGATGGAGGAATCGAACCCAGGTCGGCCTCGTGCAAGGCAAACACCCTACCTGCTGTGCTCTCTGGCCCTTACTGCAGACGACAATGCCCAAAAGGAGAGAGACAGACAGACAGACAGAGACAGAAGAAAAGTGCCTGTCATAGAAGCAGGCTAGAGAGGGGTTGATGGGAGGGAAATTGGGGACACTGGTGCTGGGAACTGTACACTGGGGGAGGGACAAGTGTTGGAGCACTGTAAGACTGAAACCTAATCATAAATAGCTTTGTAAGGGTCCAACTCACAGTGATGCAAAAAAAACTCTTGCAAAAAAAAAGTCCCGGGGCCAGAGATAGTAGTACAGCGAGTAGGTCGGGTGTTTGCCTGGCACGTGGCCCAAACTGAGTTCAATCCCCAGCATCCCATATGGTCTCCTGAGCACTGCCAGGTGTGCCCCCCTCCCCCCGCAAAAAAGAGAATCCTCCTTCACAGGACCAGAGCAATAGTGCACATACTGACCTGGCTTTGATGGCTGGCATTCCATATGATCCTTCAAACCCCACCAGGAATGATCCCTGAACACAGAGTCAGAGTCTTCCCTGAGCACTGCCGGGTGAGGGGGTTCGCAGCCCTTTGTTTTGGCTCTGGGGTGGCTAGAAACCACTCACCGTACCAGGAATCGCCTCCAGCAGGGCTGCTGGGTTCTGCTCGCTCATGTGGGGGCACCAGGACTCAGACCCTTGCCCTGAGACCCGGGGAGGGCTCTGAGCAGCTAGGGCTCCTCTGTGCCCACCCCTCTCAGTGTTAGCGGCTCAGGACGGGGGTCGCAGGCCCCGGCGAGTGGACCCGGCTTTAAGAGGTGCTGGCCAGGCTCTCGGGGACTCTGACCTGGAGTGTGGGTACCCCAGGGAAGTGTGGTGGGTGAGTCTGAGGCCCATCTTAGCCCTCACACTGTCCTGTTCTGCCAAGTGGTCAGTCTCCAACCGCTCCACGTCTGCACCATGGGCTGAGTTCAGCGAGTGTCTGTCTGAGGCCCAGAGTGAGCCTGGGGGGTCAGGTCCTTACCCTGCACCCGCTGACCCCAGCTCAAACCTGGCACCTCCCAGGTGCCCCCTAGCCCTGCCAGGAGTGATCTCTAACAGAGCCAGCATAGCCCCCCAGCACTGCCATGGCTGGCCCCCCACCATAGCGACAAAGGAATCAGGAGAATGGAGGCCAGGGAAGGACTTGGGGGCACTGGGGGTCGCGCTGGGGGATAGAATGGATACAGGCTGGAAATGCAAGGGGTGACCCAGCCTCAGGACACGACGCCCCTCGCCCCCCTTTAGCGGCCCCTCTTGAGTTCTCCTGATGCCCTCCAGGCCCCACCTCAACCCCCCCACACCCGTCTCCCCAGCTGCCTTCCCCCAGGCCCCGGGGGGGGGGGGGCACTCAGCAGAGCCCAAATTCACCTCATCCCAGGACCACATAAACAAATTCCCACCTTCCTCTCTGGACTAAACAGAAGAGCTCAGGGGCTGGAGCAATAGCACAGCGGTAGGGCGTTTTGCCTTGCATCAGCCAACCCGGGTTCGATTCCCAGCATCCCATATGGTCCCCTGAGCACTGCCAGGGGTGATTCCTGAGTGCAGAGCCAGGAGTAACCTCTGTGCATCGCTGGGTGTGACCCAAAAAGCAAAATAAATAAATAAATAAATAAACCGAAGAGCTCAGGCTTGGCCTTCCAGCCCTGGAGGGGAGGAGATGTGCCCGGGACCTTAGCTGGGGGGATCCTGAAAAGGCCTTCCTCTGCCCTGTGGCTCTCTGGCGCCTCCTGGTGGCCAGTCCCAAGGTGGGGCACTGTAGGCTCAGTCTCTGGACCCACAGCCACGTGGGGGGCAACGGCCCTCTCCTTTCTTTCGAAGAGGCAGGATGT